TCCAGACTATCGAATTTTATTTCACATTTAACAGTTTGTATACTCATACATAGTCATGATGTGCCTATATATGGTCATGTTGCTATGTCATAATGACCATCCATGTCATGTTTTTGTCCAATAAGATTAATAGTCTGGAGAATGCCAGGGTATATGCTGAAAATTGCAATATTTATGTATAAAATATTAACTATTAAATATACTGTAAGTATGTTTTTGGTATAAGAACTTCTTGTATCGTTCCAGTATAAACAGCAGTGGTTCTCAAAATATGGGTTGCAAACCATTGCCAAAATGTTGACAAGTATATTAGTTAGAGGGCTGCAGACTCTTCTAGGAGGATTTTGTTTTTTAATAATTTCATGTCATGCTTAAATTTGAAGTACTAAAAAGTCCGTATTCTAAGTATCATACAGACTTCTTACTCCAGTTGTATTTACCAGTTAACTACTCATATTGTATACGGTATAAGTTTTTTAATCGTCCCGGGAGGTGGGTCGCAGCAAATTGCCTGGTTTTAGTCTGGATCATTGGCCAAAAAATGTTTGAGAACCACTGCAATACAGCGTTCCGTTATTATGAAAAACTTGTATATTGAGGTAAAGAAAGTTGTTTCATTGTATTCCAAATTAAATTTACATTGCTACTTCATATAACAATGTCTTCTGTGTGAAGGTTTAATGGTTCATTTTTCTAGAGAAAAAATAAAAATGATCATACTTTTTTATATATATTTTGTAGTTTGGTTAATTGTTTTCAAATGAAACATGTAAATTATTGTCACAGTGTTGTTATTAAGTCATGAAAGTACCTTCATGTACGAATATAATAACAGTAGTTTTCTCTGAGGTTACTATTGGATTAAATAAATAAAATAGACCCTATCTCTATATTACAGCGCCACCAGCGGTGCCCAAGTGAGCCAACAAATAATTCAGTCCTTGCTAAATACCAATACCCTGCTTCCCAAACTTTTTCTCTGGGACCCAAGTTTGTTCTTTACCATAATAGGGAATATATATATAAGTTTTGGACCTAAATGGACCTAAAAATGAGTTAAGGTAAATTAATCAAAAAGCATTTTAATATGCCCTAAGTTAATTTTAATATATGTTTAAATGTTTGAAACTGGGTGAGTAGGAAACACTGACATTACAGCGATTAGGTTTGCTTTTGTGTTTTCCTGCCAACTCACTCAGTTTAATGGTTTTTCTTTGTTCGGCTTCTGGTGTTTTGGCAATGAACAGAACAAGAATAAGATATAAAAAGGAAAAAATAAAATCTTCTTTTGCCGTGTTCTCTGCGTTCCAGCCTAATGCTTCTATTCCAGTGTCTGCCTTCAGATTGGAGGACCGATGTTTATGCAAACTCCTTCTTTCCCCGCACTATTAAAGACTGGAATCTCCTGCCCGATATTGTCGATTGCAATATAAACCCCGACCCTTCAAATCATCACTTACACAGCAAAGCAACGAAAAATAATTTCAGACCGACCACTCTCTTTACGCCTCCTGTTTAAATCTTTCACTGGATATTAGGAGGATAACCAACCAAGTACCAAGTAGTAGATAACAAAACAAAATTACACTGTACAGTAAGATAGAAGTAAAAGTAGGAAACATGACCTGTAGAAGGTAATAAAAAGCCACTTTGCAAATTGATTAGAAAACTAGTGATCTGCCAAGTGTTTAGTAACTTTAAAATGTTGTTCCACCTTATACGAATGATGCAAAAATATAAAACAAACCGTACAAGTCAATCGAAAATATAGCAACCAACATGAATGAAGCGTGTATTTGAATTCACACAACACTTCGAAAAAGCTGTTGACAAGATAGAAAAGAATAGTGCCTCCCGTATGGAGAGCAGAAAAGGTAAAACAGCTGGAGCAGTAGTTGTCTCAGAGATCGCCAACAACGTATCTCATCTGACAATCATTCATTGTCAATTTCTATTGGCATAAATTTAGAAAATAAACTCTCAACTTGTTACAGATGATTCTATGATTTATTCATTCATTGTAATAAACATGTTGGCATATATCTTCACCCGTTTGTGGTAAACCATTTAAAAACACTTTGTTGACTGTCTGCGTGGTTCCGTTTGGTTCAGTCATGAGGAAACTTCCTCCATGGTTCCATTATGGTGTTTTAGATTTTAAATTTAGAGAACCGAAATATTCAGATCCTGAAGATGGTCTTGAATTGAATAAGTGAAAGGCCTATGTAGACATGATTTTCGATTGTTAAAAAGAGGAATCGGCGAGTTCGAAAAAACGGTTGCTACACTGGGATTCGAAACCGGGACCTTCTGTCTATCTATGTAGACGCCCTTTATTTTACCATCTGGGCCAATTAGAAAATTAGAATTTATCCCATAATCGTTGGATCACTGGGAAATTGTATAATACACAAACGTATTTGACCAGGACGGATCCGGTACTTTTTATGGAAATTGTGAAGTCTGCAAGACTGAATTTGTAGTGTACCGGAAAGGAATATTTATGTTAGTGCCGCGGCTTACATTTAGGGTAGCTACGTGCATGCAAAAATTAATACTGGGTCTTCCCGTAAGGTTCAGTGTTGCTGCCTTGACCGACAGCGCTGTTAATCCAATCCTTTTGTGATTCAGCCATGACGTAACAAAGAAATCGAAATGAAAATTGTGTTTAATCATCGTAGGTTAAATATGACAGTACACCACCATGGTTCAATAAACAACATTGGTTTATGTCAATCTAGAGCAAATTTATTATATTTAGCTGAGGCGCCATTCAAACCCAAGACAACCTTTTTGTACACGAGCCGTGAGGAGGTAATTTCATAGAAATCAATATAACTGTTATCGCACTGACTGGTGTTGCTATGCGATACGAAACACATCAACAACATCACAGGTAATTAGCAATATCGTCAAATTATCTGTTTTTTATGCTATAAACCACAACTGCGTAGATGTGTTTAGTTGAATAAATGACGTATATATTAGAACACACTATTGACATGGCCATACTCTTTAGGCGTACACTTAGTGGTAATGGTGGGCCTACTTTTTACATTGACGGTTGTTGGTATTACCCCTGATTGATCATTCAATATGTACAAAATAACACTGATTAGGTTATGAGGAGCCATTATAGTATTCTTAGCTTACTAGCCTGTATGAAATGAGTGATTATACCTCCTTGCTCAAATTTATTGTGGAATGTGTTTTTTCTTCTACAGATTTAGCATTCGATTAATTTCATTGTTAAGAAAACGAGATGAAGATTAAAGTCATCGTTATGCTATTTTTAACCATCGGTTCTGCTGACTCAGGTAATTCAAAGCTTCTGTATACTATACTATTTTAGGCCTACTTATTTTATTATTTATCACAATATTATATGATAAATTACATTATATGTATGTATGTATGTGCACAATACCAATATAATGATTAATGAATCAGGATTTATTAGATATAACATAACAATTTTCATTATGCAAGATAATCTATAGATATTCTATTTCTGTCTTCAATTTTACCATTTTGATGATCATCTTTGCTCAGAGAGTGTCGGATTCAGGGGCTAGCCTGCCTGGGGCCCCAAAAACTGTTTGGGTTTAGGGTGGCATTTGCCTTCCCCCATCGTTATTTCCCGTTCATCATCTTTATCTGTATCATTATTTATTTATTTACCCCCCCCCCCCCGAGAATGCAGAAAAGTGCGTATTATCCGAGCATTTAAGAATCAACAATTTCCCGGGGGAGGGCCCCCATCCCCTTTTACAAAATCCTGGATCCACCCCTGTGAACTGCAGCATCTTGTGGCGCTATCTCACAAAATTTAGATAATTTCCAACTACTTGACCCTGATTTTTTTTGTGGGGGGCGGGGCATCTGTTGGGGGAACGTGGACCACTTGTCGAGGAAAGACTGGTGCACCCCTGGTTTAACTGTCTCCTGTGGATTCGACATTTTGTTGACGAATGTAGGCCCTACAAATAGAAAAAAAGAACATTTGCTATAAAAATACATAGGCCAAATAGCCCTAGGACTACATGTACTCTGGTTAATAAATGATTTTTTTTTAAATCAAATTTTGCTATAATACTACTACTACTACTACTACTACTACTACCAATAATAATAATAATAATAATAATATAATAATAATAATACATACGACAAATAGTCCTAGGACTACATGTACTCTGGCTAATAAATGAATCTAAATTTTAGTGTCACCGCCTATATAGGCCTACTATTCAATGGCGCCGAGAGTTCCGCGAAATCGGGACAAGTGCATCGGAGCCCAGGCCCACTAGGGGCCCGGGATAACTAGGTAAAAAATATAAAATAAATAAATAAACATTTATTAACCGTATACATTCATTCAGTTCATGTTTTTCCCACGAAAATTGTAAATAAAGCTGGCCGTTTATGGATGAAAGCTCGTAATTAGTCGTTTATAGTTCATTTCCATGAATATTTTTGTGATTTCTACTACTCTAGAGTTTATTTTTTAAAGGGTGGCCCGGCCCCCGCCCCCAGAATTGTTCAAAATAAAAATGAAAATTTATTTAAAAAAAAAAAGTATATATGACATTTTCTGCCGTCCAGTGGTGTCATAATCATAAATTATCTTACCTCAGCCACAACCATGATAGGGCTGAGGTAGATAGACCGTCCATTTTTGAAAGTCTTTCTCTGGGCCCCACTCTATTTCAAATTCATGGATCCGCCACTTTAAACTTTGATACCTATGTTATGAATGTTTCGGCACGTTTGAATAAAATGAAGGTTTAACTTTTCATGATTCCATACTTTATTTGTTATGACCTTGTGAAATAGGCACTCTTTAATCGATTAAATCAGTCCTCTAATCCATTAAAAGCCCGTAGCTTCCAGGGGTGGGGGTGGCAGACCCCAACCAATTGGCCCGGGCAGCGAAGATGCCCCGCCCGCGTCTGTTCTCGGCCCTGCTACTATTAAGCAATTAGGTCTGTGTTTTCGTTATGTTTACAGGTTTCTCCGTTCGATTAGCTGATGGAGCTTCAGTTTATGAAGGTCGTCTTGAGATATATTATAACGGAGAATGGGGAACCGTTTGTGATGATAGATGGGATTATGAAGACGCACATGTGGTTTGTCGTGAACTAGGCTATGGAAATCCAGTGCGGACCCTCATCAGTACTGGATACCAAGGATCACTTCAAAGCATACTTTTAGATGATGTTGACTGCATTGGTTGGGAGTCTAGTCTTTCGTCGTGTTCACATTCAACCATAGGTGTACATGACTGTACTCACTCTGAGGATGTTGCGCTTGAATGTTCTTCAGGTTTGTAGGATTCAGTTATGGACTTGCTTTTAAAGCAGGGTTGCCAGATAGTCGACAGGCTTCATGGCCAAACACACGTCATCTCACGGCCAAATTCTGCCAAACTTTTTTTTTCGATATCGGCCAAAATTCGGCCAGATTTTAATCCGATTAGAAAACAACAGTGGGTACATTCATTTGAAATACTACAAAAATTATACGAAAATCAGCCGTCATTCGTTTGAAATTCAAGAAATTCAAATGATATACACAGACTAATGTTAAAAATAAATAGCCTATGTTCTTTAGTTGCTGGCATGCAGGCCA